TTTTTCATCCTGATCATTTATGTATACATTTGTCTATATCTATCTCGATTCGTTTTGGCTGTTACAAACAACCGTTATGTGAACAAAATTAATATACCCTTGTGCACAAGTGCGCTCGGGTATAATAAATAAAAAGCGTAACAAATGCGAGAAATTTTTTTGCATGTATTGTTTGTTCTTATGTTATCTTATATCTTTGCTTTATTAGTGCATAAAAATCCCGGCCTTAGCCATGGCTTTTGAATGCCTCTGCTTTACGTTGAAAAAGTTAAAATAACATTATTAAAAGGGGGAAAAAATTAAACAAGTTACAAGAACTATTAAATTTTTTTATCAAAATGGCCCAAGTTTTTTACAAAAAGTAAATTTACATTGTAAAATTTATTTGAAGGTGAGTGAAAAAAAGGCACACGATTCCGGAGATTTGCCCATATACTACATACGAATAGGTGTACTCTTCAATCATGCATATGCAGAAAGAAACTGAAGATGAATTTTTCTGCAAAAAATGAAGTTTTATAATAAAAATTCATTCCGTTTGTAGCTTAGAATTCACAATGAAACACAAACAGTCTCCATTCAAGACAACTCAATTTTCAATATTTTTTCTTTTTTTTATAAATTTCCGCTTTGAATGCTAATACTGTGCACTACCATGTATGCATGTACATTAGGGTGGTCCAAAAATGCATGTGAAATAGTAAAGTCGGAATTTTTATCCTCTCACCCCCTAGGATTGTTCTATGCCATAAAAAATATTCCCATATTTTTTTTTATATTTTGAAACCAAAAAATATTTAGAGGTCGCTCAAAGCGCACAAAGTTTTCCAAGTATAACCTTTCGCAGAAATGGTATAGAATTCTTAAAAATCATTCTTTTTCTATCGGAAAACCCTATTGATCTGCAGGAGGTTCCCAATAGTATTAACCAATTGTGTTATTTAACCATTTTTTCATTGCAACTATAATTTATAGATCCGCCAAAAACTCACAATAACCCCGAAAAATGCGATGAGGAGACCAATAAAAAATCGTTAGCATTAAAAAATGGTTAAATAACACAATTTGATATTATTATTGAGAGTCTCCTGAAGAGAACCAGAGTTTTCCGATCGAAAAATATCGAATTTCAAGAATTCTTTCCATTTATACAAAAAGTTGTTTTTTCCCATATAAAAATGCATGGAAAACTTTGAGCGCTTTGAGCGACCTCTAAATATTTTTTGATTTCAAAAAAAATAGGGGTCTACTTTTTTCGATATAGAACAATCGTAGGGGGTAAGAGCATTACAATTTCGACTTTACTGGCTTTGGACCACCCTAATTTACATATGTATGTTTGACAGACGGACAGACGGACATGGCTAAATCAACTCAGCTCGACGTTCTGATCATATAAGTATACATTTTCATGGGTCTATCTCTTTTTGTTCTGGTACTTACAAACATCGGACCAAAGTTATAATACCATTTCATGCTCATGAAAGGTATAAAAATAGGGGTATACTTTTTTTCGATATAGAACAATCCTAGGGGGTGAGAGCATAAAAATTCCGACTTTTTTTCGATATAGAACAATCCTAGGGGGTGAGAGCATAAAAATTCCGACTTTACTTTTCCACGTGTATTTTTGGACCACCCTAATGTGCACACATTAATTAGGTGTACGTTTTCATGCATCCTTAAGGGAAAAATTGTTATATAATTGAATTTATTTATATTTAATGTGTTACTATTTAAATAATAGTAATATTTGTTTATATGTATGTACCAGAGTTGTGAAAAATTCATTAAATTTTTAATGCATAGCAGTTTAATGTTAATGAAAAATGCATTGCATTAATTGCGAAGAAATAATGCTAATGATTTATTTTTTGCATTAACATTAAACTTTGTTAATGAATGCTATTGCATTAATTTATTGCATTAAACGCATAACAAACATTAAAACTAACTCATTTTATTTTATAGTAAAAATTCTTGACGTTGAGGGTAGAATTTTGAGGCCAAAAAAGATGAGGGGCGGAAATTAAGGCTGATGAGGGCTAACATACTTCAGATTCGCATTTAGCGCGTCGTATAACATAGAGATATGGGGGTGTTATTATTATACGAAGTCCTTCCAAAAGAGGTTATTTATATTTCACAAGAAATAATTTTGGTGGTTTTAATACTTTAGATGTTACGCATATGTATGTATGTATAAACGACGCGAATATTTAACTTCATGGTCCACGGTGGAGAGAATTCAGAAGGTGGCGCCGATGGCAACACCGCTAATCGGCTCTCAGTGAATTTGACAGAATTAGCTGTTTTGCTGGCGTCACAGTCGAGATGACGGCAGTAGTGATGTGCTGAGTCAATAACACAGGTCCACAAAAAAAAAATCGATGAAAGGTTCCTTTGACCAAACCTAGTCTGTTATATGATTTTGGGGTCGCTAAACACGAATCTGAAGTCCGTTTTGTTCCATCACGTCTGAACTTTACTCCAACCTAAAAAAAAAACATCTCGAAGTTCACGTCACAGAGAAAATCCGAGGTGTTTTTTGAGGTTAGGTCTAGACGCGATGAAACAAAAGGGACTTCAGATTTGTGTTCAGCGAGCCCAAAAAATATGATAGACTAGGTTTGGTCAAAGGAACTTTTCATCGATTTTTTTTTTTTGGACCTGTGTTATCAATTACACAATTTATGCCTCTAAAATTCTGTTTCATTTTGTTTTATTCCACTGCATGCACTCTCTGCCACCACATTCTTACTCATATGACGAATACAAATTTACAATATTTGAACCNATTACACAATTTATGCCTCTAAAATTCTGTTTCATTTTGTTTTATTCCACTGCATGCACTCTCTCCCACCACATTCTTACTCATATGACGAATACAAATTTACAATATTTGAACCAAAATCTAAATTTTGCAAAGCTTTCGTGTAAAAACAATTATCATCAATGGGATTACACTTATTTACTTTAGACGAATGTACAGCGATTGGTGACTGCGTCTTGCCAGCACAGTGGCCATGGTGCCGTGCCCAACGACGTTGATTCGGTTCCGAGTAGCCAAAGCGAGAGCCGGCAGTTACTGAAAAGTATAACAAAAGCAAATAACAAATTAAATATTATTTTAATATGTACATACATATTTTTGAAGCAAATATAAACATGAGCAATAGATTTAGAACATTTGGCCTTCCAGGCAGCAGCACAAAACAGACCAACAGGCAAAAGTAATTGAAGTAATCCAATCCAAGCTGATGTGTTCATTTGAAATTTTTTACTAAATATTGATTTCGAAAGAAGAAAAGTTTTAATGAACAAACCACACTGTGAATCAAACAATATTTTGATATTTGATCCAAGGCGATTTGTATTTTGTTTTAGCGGGTTTTTATCTTAGCTTTTCTTCCTCGAATGAAAAAGGGTGACAGAAAATATAAACACTATCCTTGATTCACAAAAATTACAAAATTTGTACCATCAAACGCAATACACAGCTGATGAAACATCACCACCTTATATAAATATATAAATTCGCCTTGATTTGATCTGAATATTTATTTACATAACACATTCATGTGTGTACATATGTACATATCTACAGGAACATTACTGACTTTTCGACGATGAGGAGGGAATTTTTATGGGTAGGTAGTGTAATGAAAGAGGTTTTTCGATGGTGTCATTTTTTTTCTTTTTTGGTTGTGTTACCAGAAAGACAGAGATAAGCAATAAAATAAAAGTTACAAAAGAAGCAACAATTATAAAATTATAATTTATATAATAAGGCCACTGCCGATTTTCACTCAAACGCACACAGTTTCGCATCAAAGAGTGAACTCTAGTAATGTGTTGCTATTTAAACAG